CAGGTAGTATGATGCCTCCAGCTTTGTTCTTTTTGCTTAGAATTGACTTGGCTATACAGGCTCTTTTTTGGTTCCCTGTGAAATTTAAAGTAGTTTTTTTCTAATTCCGTAAAAAAAGTCAATGATAGCTTGATGGGATAGCATTGAATCTATAAATTACTTTGGGCAATATGGCCATTTTTACAATATTAATTCCTCCTATCCATGAGAATGGAAAGGTTTTCCATTTGTATTCTCTCTTATTTACCTGAGCAGTAGTTTGTAGTTCTCCTTAAAGAGCTCCTTCACATCCTGTGTAAGTTGTATTCCTAGATATTTTATTCTCTTTGTAGCAATTGTGAATGCAAGTTCACTGAAGATTTGGCTCTCTATTATTGGTGTATACAAATGCTTGTGATTTTTGCACATTGATTTTGTATCCTGAAACATTGCTGAAGTTGCTTATAAGCTTAAGGAGATTTTGGGCTGAGATGATAAAGTTTTCTAAACACACAATCATGTCATGTGCAAACAGACCCAATTTGACTTCCTCTTTTTTAAAAAAGAAATCTTGGGAAAAATCACAAATATGTGAAAATTAAAAACCTGTTCCTCAATTACCAACAGATAAAAGATGAAATCAAAAAGAAAATCAAAAAGTATCTTGAGACAAATGAAAATGGAAACACAAAATACACAACTTATGAAATGCAGCTGATGTAGTTGTAAGAAAGAAGATTACAGCAATAAATGTCTATATCAAAAACAAAGATTTCAAATACCCAATCAAACATTATACTTCAAGGAACTAGAAAAAGATCTAACATCAGCAGAAGGAAGAAAGTAACAAATATTGAAACAGAAATACATAAAGACTAAGAAAATGATTTTTAAAATAAACAAAAATAAGAAGGCTTTTTTGACAAGATAAACCCTTCATAGACAAAGGAAAAAAGAGCTTGCTCAAATAAATAAAAATGAAACATGAGAAATTAACTGATAGAAACCACAGAAATATACTCACCATAAGCGACTACTATGAACAATGCTACACCAATGGATAGATAAGCTAAAAGAAATTAATACATTCCTAGACAGATTTAACATATCAAGACTCAATCAATCATGAGGGAACATAAAATACAAGTAGACCAATAATGAATAAGAGGAGTGAATCAGTAAGAAAAAGTCCCTGTCAAAGAAAAGTTCTGGACTGGATGAATTCTACCAGACGTTTAAAGAACGACTAATATTGATCACTTCTCAAACTATTCCAAAAATCTAGAATACTTCCAAACTCATTTTAGAAGGCCAGTATTACCCTCATACCAAAGCTAGACACGGGCACTACAAGAAAAGCTTACAAACCAACATCCTTGGTGAACACAGATGTAAAAATTCTCAACAAAATATTAACAAACAAAATTCAACAACACATTAATATAATATTTTGTCATGATACAGTGGTATTTATCCATGGGATGCAAGGATGGTTTGACAAATACAAGTCAATAAATATGACACATCACATTAACAAAATAAAAAACAAAAGTCATATCATCATCTCAATAGATGCAGAAAAAGCATCTGACAAAATTCAATGGCATTTCATGATCAAATACTATCAAAAGATTAGGTATAGAAGGAATGTACCTAAACATAATAAAGAATATATAGGACAAGCCCAGGGCTAACATCATACTGAACAGTGAAAACCTGAAATCTTTTCTTTAAAGATCAGGGACATGACAAGAATGCTCACTCTGACTACTTCTTTTCCACACAGTACTGGAAGTCCTATACAGAAAAATTAAGCAAGAGGAAGAAATAGAAGGCATTGTAATAGAAAAGGAAGAAGTTAGATTGTCTCTGCTTCTTGACAGTATGATCTTATATGTAAAAATCCCGGACAGGTGTGGTGGGTCACACCTGTAATCCCAGAACTTTGAGAGGCTGAGGCTGGTGAATCACTTGAGGTCGGTAGTTCAAGAAAAGCCTGACCAACATGGTGAAACCCCGTCTCTACCAAAAAAACAAAAAAAAAAATTAGCCAGGTGTGGTGATGTAACTGTAATCCCAGTTACAAACCCAGGAAGCAGAGGTTGCAGTAAGCCAAGATCACACCACTGCACACCAGCCTGGGTGACAGGGGGAGACTCCAACAACAAAAAACTTTTAGAACTGATAAGTGAATTCAGTAAAGGTGTAGGATACAAAATGAACATGTAAAAATCAGTACCATTTTTATGCATTAACATATCCAAAACTAATGGTATTCAAAAAAAAATTAGAAAAACGATCCCATTTATAATAGCAACAACAACAAAAATACATATGTATAAATTTAACCAAGGATATGAAAGATCTGTATACTGAAAAGTATAAAGCACAACCAAGGATATGAAAGATCTGTATACTGAAAAGTATAAAGCACTGATAAACTAAAAAAAAAAAAAAAAAAAAAAAAANAAAAAAAAAAAAAAAACAAATAAATGGAAAGATATTCTGTGTTAATTAAATGGGAGAAGTAACGTTAAAAAAAATCCTTATATTCATATGGAATAAAAGACCTTAAAGAACCAAAGCAATCTTAAACAAAAAGAACAAAGCTGAAGGAATCATACTATCTGACTTTATACTGAAAAGCTATAGCAATCAAAACAGCATGGTGCTGGCATGAAAACAGACACGTCAACCTATAAAAAAAGACAAAGAATCCAAAATAAACCCACACATTTATGGACAATTGATTTTCTATGAAGATGCCAATAATATACAATGGGAAAAGAACAGATTCTTCAATAAATGCTGCTGGGAAAACAGGATATCTACATGCAGAACAGTAAGATTGAATCCTTATCTGCTACCATGAGGAAAAAACAATTCAGAACAGATTAAGGACTTAAATATTAAGACCTGGAGATGTAAGCCTACTAGAAGAAACTTAGGGACAAAGCTTCATTGGTCTGGGCATTGACTACAACCCGGAAAGCACAGGAAATAAAAGCAGTAACAGAAAAATGGGACTTCATCAAACAAAAGCTTCTGCATAGCAAAAGAAACAATTAATAGAGTGAAGGAAGAACCCAGAAACTGGGAGAAAAATCTGCAAACCATACATCTGATAAAGGGTTGCTATCCAAAATATCTAAGGAACTCAACTCAATAACAAGAAAACAACTCAATTTAAACATGGGCAAAAACATTTCTCAAAAGATGACAGATGGCCAACAGGTTCATGAAAAATGTAAATGCCCAACATGTATATAAATACATACTCAGCATCACTGATTAGTAGAGAAATGTAAATTAAATCCACAATGAGATATAAGCATATATCTGTTAGAATGACCAGTCTCAAAAAGATGAAAGATAAGTGTTAGCAAAGATTTGGAGGAAAAGAAACACTGTTGGTAGCAATGAAAAGTAGTACAACCATTATGAAAAATGATATAGAAGTTCCTCAAAATTTTAAAAATGTAACTGTCATATGATCTAGCAATCCTACTTCTGGGTATATGTCCAAAAAAAATGAAATCATGTTAAAGAGATATCTGCATTCCCATATTCATTGTAGTATTGGTCACAATAGACAAGATATTGAATCAGTATAAATGTCCATTAAGTAACGAATGGATAAAAGAAATATGGCATATATCCACAACAGCTTACTATCCTGCCTTACAAAAAGAAGGAAATTCTGTCATTTAGGACAACACAGCTGAACCTGGAGGACATTATACAAAGTGAAATAGGCACATACTAAAGGATCGCACTTAAATGTGGAATCTAAAAAAGTCAAACTCATAGAAGTAGAGAATAGTATGGTGGTTAGAGTAGAACAGTGGTTACAAAATGTGGGCGGAATAAAGTAGTGGTGGGTTTGCAATAAAAAGATGCTATTCAAAGGGTACAAAATTTCTATTAGACAGGAGCAGTAAGTTCAATTCAAAAAGAAGAGATAAATACGTATTTCTGGGTGTGTGTTTATATATACACTAAAATTTGCATACTACTTCAGGGGATTCAGAAAACTCTAAGTCTTTTCATAAGCTCCAAGTGAAGAATCTCTATCCTACTGCAACATTTATCATGTTATTCTTTATAAAATGCTAAAAGCCAGCAACAAAACTAGTACAGCTTGAGCATCCCTAATCTGAATTCTCAAAATCTGAAATGCTCCAAAATTTAAAACGTTTTGAGCATTGACATGATACAAGTAGAAAATTCCACACCTGACCTCATGTGATTAAGTCACACAAAATTGTTAAAAATATTATATAAAATTACCTTCAGACTATGTGCATAAGGTATATGGGAAATGTAAATAAATTTCATATTTAGACTTGAGTCACATCCCCAGTATATATGTATGTGCAAATATTCCAGATCTGGAAAAAATCTGAAATTTAAAACACTTCTGGTACCAAACACTTTGAATAAAGGATAATCAACCTGTATTTTACTTTAGTCAATAGCTAGGCCAAATAAGAAAACTTTAATTAAAATATAAGGTCCCAAATTAAAACCTTCAAAAGCATCATATAAGAATGAAAGTCACCTTATTTTAACAGATAAATTAAAAATAATGTTACTTTAAGCATAATTACACTTAAAAATGTAACCTTCAAAAACTACTTATGTGTTACTGACAAACCTAACATTATTATTTTAAACTGAAACAACTTAAAACAAGTATCCTGTACTTATACTTGATTTGGCTATCATTTCAAACACATATATTGATAACCTTAAGTTATCCAAAAGGTAAATTATGCAAGAAGCTGGTGAAAAATAGTTATTTGCAATTATGAAACATATGCAGAAATTGGTAGGAAGGAAAAAAACTGGATGCCTTAACTCATAATCTGGATTTTAAACATAAGCTATACATATCTATCTTCACAGAAACATATTACAATTTAAGTTGACCATGCTAGACATATGTATTTTAATAATAAAATATTAGTTGCCTCTAACACAAATTTTCCATATTCTTATCAAAAAGATTGTTCTCTTACCTATACTTAGGAAGATTTCATTTATCAAAGCTTCATTCACTGCAGAAGAGCTGACATTTCCAATATGAGACCAACTTTGATATATTGCTTGCAAGAGAAGTGTCTGTGCTCTTGTAGCTTGAAGTGTGAGGTTAGGAAGTTCAAATATACCTTCAGTTATAGCAATCTGAGATCTTTTGGTCCTGAACAAGAAAACAGAAAGAATCACAATACAGTAAACAGCATTTACAGACAACAAAATACTAAATGACTTAGGTTGCAAAAGCAGAAAGGGAATATATCCAAAGTATTTTAAAATTCGATTAAACAAAATAGGCAATTCTGCTAACTTTGTGTTTCACTATTTCAGAAACTTTGAAAAATAAAATATAAAAATACAAACTAGAATGATGCCCATACACACATATTCTGCTCAAGCAACTACTGTATAATCAAGGCAGTTATCATAAGTAAAAATAAAAATGGTGCTTGTTAACTCTTAGAGAAGATTTACTAGAAACCCTGTATTACTCTAGATTTCTTATAGTAACACGTTAAATTCTGCCACAATAACTCTATGAGAGAAGTACTATCATTATACTAGTTTTTCAAATGGGAAAACCAAGACATACACAGATATATTAAGGTATCAAATGTCACACTAGTGACATTTAATTAGAAATTAAATCCAGGCAAGCTGATCCAGAGCCCTCTTTCCTAATACTTTTTCTCAGAAGTATTTATGAAGTATTTACATTATACTCAGGACTCTATTTGATAGTAAATGGCAAATTTTTTTTTTAATTTCTGCCCTGGAATATCTAATTTGTTGATTGCTTATTCATTTTGAATAAAGTGAACTATGTAGTTAAATTTTCTAAATAACAACTCCTCAAAGCAAGGAAAGATTTCAAAAAAAAAAAACATAAAGAAAAAAAAAAAAAAAAAAATATAAGCAACAAGTTTATACTGAAGTGCAAGCAAGATAAAATAGAAGAACAAAAAAAAAAAGATAGATATAAAAAAAAATCAGGATGCTACTATAGTAGACTGTCACCTGCTCTTTCCTCAACTCCACAAACCTTCCACCATTTGTCAGTTACACCATAACTGTAACCACACATGGAGAGTATAAAACATCTCTTGTATATCACCTAAAAAGCTTCTCACCCTACTTCTTATTCTGGCCAATTCAATGTAAACTTTCACTTGCATTACCTAAAGACACCATGCATCATGAGACACCAGCAAACTACTTTGCATTCACACATACAGAACATGGAAATGCAAGAATAAATGCTTCCCTCTTTTCTCCCACTTGCTGACTATTCTCCGAGAAGGTCCCAGGAAATTGAGGACTAAGAAAGATAAATGACTAAAATAACTGAACAAAGCTTTAATGAGATGTGGGACACTATCAAGCAATTTGAAGAAAACTATAAACCCAAATATCTAAGTTCAACAAACCCCAAGCAGACAAGAATTAAAAACATACCAAGGCACATTAAAATCAAATTTCTGAAAACTAGTGTTAAAGAGAAAAATACATCACATATAAAGAAACAAAAGCTAGAAAATAAAGACTCCTCACCAGAAATCATATACAACAGAAAACAACAGAATAACATGATTGAAATGCTGAAAGAAAAAAGAAAAACTGTCAGCCTAGAATCCAAAATTCAGAAAAAAAATCTTTTAAAAATGTAAGCAAAAGAGCCTTTTTATGACTAAACACTGGGAAGAATTCCTGACCAGCATATCTGTAGTACAAAAAATGTTAAAGAAAATTCTTCAGGCTAAATGAATGTGATGCCAGACGAAAATATTTGTGTCTCTATATAAAGAAATTTGAAGAGTGCTGGGAATGGTAAATATATGGGTGAAAGGAAGAAAGAAGAAAGAAGCAGAAGAAGAGCACTCTCATTAACAAGATTAAATAATTAACTGTTTAAAGCAAAAATCATAACAACATAGTTCAGAGTTTACAACACATGGAAAAGTAGAATTCATAATGCTAATAGCAAAGGATAGAAAAAGGAAAATGGAGGTTCTCACACAATGTGTGACATGGTATAACATTATTTGAAGGTAGCTGTGATAAGTAAAAGATGTAAACTGCAAACCTTAGAACACTTAAATCCATAAAACCAACAGGTAAAACTAATAAAGGCAATAGTGGAGATAATGGAATAAGAATGGAATGGTGAGGATGAAACAAACTCAATCTAAATAAAGTTAGGAAAAGAAAACAAAACAACAGATGGGACAATTAGAAACCCACAGCAAAATACTAGAACTAAACCCCAAAATATAAATATTAAGTCTCAAATGTCTAAGCATATCAATTAAAAGAAGAGATGTTCAGATTATATTTAACAAAAAATCCAAGATCCAACTATATATCCACTTTAAATATAAAGAAGGCAGATAGGCTAAAAATAAAGGAGATAAGGTCATGAAGGAGTAAAGGAATGAGCACAACAAACACCACATAACTCTAATTAAAAAAGAGTAATGCATTAATAAATATTAAATATATTAAACTTCAGAACACAGACTATTACCATAGATACAGAGAGACTTTTTTGATAATGACAACATGGTTAATTAAGTTTGTGGGCATTACAGATCTTCAAAATACATAAATTTTTTTAAATAGAGAACTGAAAAGAGGAACAGACAAATCCAAAAACTAAAGATTGACACTCTTCTCTCAGGAATTGATAAAACATATAGAATGTAAGTAAATAATTAAAAACAAAAACACCACCATCAATCAACTTGGCCTTATTGACATTTGTAGAACACCCACCCAGCAATAGCAGAATACACATTCATAAGGCATACTATAAGAACATAAAAGCAAGTCTGTAAAAGGAAAAAGGCTGAAATCATACACAGTATAGGTGCTGATCACAATGCATTTAAACTATAAATTAATACCATAAGGTTATGTATAAATCTCCAAATATCTAGAAGTTCAACAAATAAAATATAACTCAAATTAGTCAGAAAGAAGGTAGATAAAATTTAGAAATCTACATAGAAATAACAATTTTGAAAAATTATAAAATGATTTTAGAAAAAGATACTGATATCAGTATCAGGAAAGGGCAATATACAATATACATAATCAGTGTTCCTAAACAGAAAAACAAATAGAAAAGGGACAGTATACAGAAATATTTACCAAAAAAATTCTATGTAAAATAAATGCCTAAACTACAAAGTGCACAATTTGTCATATACAAAAATGATTTTGAATGATCATTATCCCAGTAAAGCCACTGAATGCCAAAAAACACAGAAAACATTCTGCAGGCATTCAAACAGATAAAGCAATGTGCAGTTACCAAGAATTCTCCAGAATTTCTCAGACTTTCTACTATCCTTCCTACCCTATCTACTACAGTCTAGCATATATAGTCAATTTACGTGCACAATTCATCTATAAAAGAATATAAGGCAATTTCAAGCTGTAACCTGATATACTGACATATTAATAGTGTCAATGGGCTACCTTTGTAAATTCCAGACATGCTTTAATTTCTGTCATCTTTCATGTCAATGAGCTCCTTATGTAGCCACTGTTATAGTAGGCAAAGTCCTATTTGTTATAAAGCTAATATCCTTCAAAGCCAAGATTCAGTTTTTACTTTGTAGTTTCTAAGTCCACTAATAAATGAGCTGTAATGTCCTTCCTATTATTTAACTACTGAGGTGTCAGATGAGGCCTAGTTAACTTCATGCTTCATGTTGAAGCTGTTCTCTAAAAAATCAATCAGTTGAGTAACTATTTATTAATTGCCTACTCTGTAAGCAGTTATATTCTGGCTACTTAGGAAACAGCCATTTTAAGATTCCAATGAACAAACCAAAAAAATTAAAATCCTCGTCCTCAAAGAGTTTACATTCTAGTGGGGAGTAGAGGAAGACAAAAATCAATAAATATACGAAAGTTATAAGAGAAAAACTACTAGAAATAGAAAAAGTAGAACATAACCAGCTTGGTCAACATGGGAAACCCCATCTCTATTGAAAATACAAAAAATTAGCTGGGAATAGTGGTAGGTGCCTGTAGTCCCAGCTACTCGGAGGCTGAGATGGGAGAATGGCTTGACCCCGGGGTGGAGGTTGCAGTGAGCCAAATTCACGCCACTGTACACCAGCCTGAGCGTCAGAGTGAAACTCCATCCCCCCCCCCCAAAAAAAAAAAAGTGGAACATAAGTGGAATGAGACTGCTTTAGAGTGATCAATTTTATATATAGTAGGTAGGCTTTATTATAAAGGTAGATCTTATTAAATTGAAACTTGAGCAGTCTTGAAGGAGGTAAGAGACAGCTACTTGGGTATCTCTAGAAAGTATTTCAGGCAGATGTAAGTTTATGAACAAAGGCCCTGAGGTAGAACTGAGCATGGCAAGTGCAAGCAAGGGCAAGGAAGCTAGTGTGACTATAGTCATTTGAGAGCAAATTCACAAATTCAGTTGATTTCCTGTGGCTTTTATCTACAAGAAATATTTAAATAGGCTTTACATGGCCATTCAACTGAGATTTAATCCACGTCTGACTGCAGGGGGCTTGATTTCCCACGTTTATTTGTATTTTTAAATTTCTTATCTGTAGCCCTACTTTCAAAGATTTTCATTTAAGGTAGGATACAAAATTTTAAAAATCTAAGTTCTAATTCTGGCTTAATTATTCGTTTTGTGTTTGTAGGGGAAAATTACATAACTTTTCAAAGCTTAACTTTCCTATTTAAAAAATAGAAAGAATAACCCTGCTCAATCTACCACAATCAACTTTAGTGAAAAATCAATTGTATTTAATATTTAAAGCATCACAGATGCAATATTCTGTCCTAGGATCTGAGGAGACAGGCGCCATCTTTAATTTTTTTAATTTTTTTTTTTTTTTTTAGACAAACTTTCACTCTTTCGCCCAGGTTGGAGTGCAGGGGCACAATCTTGGCTCACTACAACCTTCACCTTCTCCTAGGTTCCAGTGACTCTCCTTCCTCAGCCACTCAAATACCTGGGATTTCTGGTATCTGTCACCACGTCCAGGTAATTTTTGCAATTTTAATAGACACAGAATTTCATCACGTTGGCCAGGCTGGTCTTGAATTCCTGAGCTCAGATGATCCTTGGTCTCACAAAGTGATGGGATTACGGGTATGAGCCACTGTGCCTGGTCACCATCT